CGACCGACAAGGTCACAACACAGTAGATATCCATACTTGGAGTCCCGACGAAAATATTTTCCATTCACAGTGAGGGTATTTATTTTTGGCCAATTTCATTATGAGTAGTACCCACTTTCGGAAAGTGAGGCAAACTTATTTTGGGTAGTACCATTAAAACATATTTATGATCATGTGTGAAATTTCAGGACTGTATTGGTGTGCTTGACGACACACATGTCGAGGCACATCTCGCGCTTCAAGAGGCACCGCCATATTTTGGCCATAAAGGACGGCACACGCAAAACATACTCGCAGTGTGTGATTTCGATTTGTGTTTTACTTTTATATCTTGCGAATGGAAGGGAAGTATGCCTGACAGTAGAGTTTTTAACGAAGTAACACAGGATCCAGCCAAACAATTCCCCATGCCAGAGGATGGTAGGATGAACGACACATTTTTTTTTTTTGTTTGTATTAGTTGTGTGCATTTGATATTTATAATCGACCACCGTACTAATGCGAAATTATCGACATGCAACCAGGAAAATATTACCTTGTCGACGCGGGGTACAAGAACCAAAAAGGATTTTTGGCACCGTATAAGGGATGTCGGTACCACCAGGAAGTGTTTCGCGCAACAGGATGGCCAAAAAATGCAAACGAAATTTTCAACACGGTGCACTCCTCCTTACAGAGTGCAATTGAACATACGTTCGGCGTATGGAAAGCGCGATGGGGATTCCTACATAACATGCCGCGATATGATTTCGGGAAAGTGCAGGTGTCATTGGTTGGGGCTTCAATGGCGATACATAATTTTATACGCCGCAACTCGAGCGACGATGAAGCATTCAACAAGGTTGCGAATGCAGAGAATTTTACATTCAACGACATGCCATATGTTGACGGTCTTGGTGACGATGATGATGGTGAACCAGAGGGCGACAATGACGTACATATGAACGAAGTGAGGGAATCAATATGGAATGAATTAGTGCGACATCGGCGTGAACTTGGATTGTAAATCTTGTTCGGTCTGTACGAGGTGATGGCAAATGAAATGAATGTGTAAACAAGTAGAAAGTGCCCAAAAAAATGTACGGTTCTGTTGGTAAGTTGCAGGTTGTGAAGGGCATTTACCAAAACTATGTAATGTGGAAACTAATTAATGCAAGCGCGCAATTTGTTGGGAAAAATGAAGAAAATAAATCCCTCATTCAGTAATAATAATAAAAATAATTAACAAAACTGTCATGATAATTTGAAAAAAGTTGATACTGGTATTTTAGTCTTTTGCAATAATTGTTTGGATAATTTGGTAATTGTTTGTATTTGAAAAATAATACATTTACTAATAAACTTGTAATAATAAAAAAAAATCGTAAAAAAGAGAATAACAAATTTGTAATAATTAAAAATATTTGGTAAAATTTGGAAATTGTAGAATATATAAAAAATAATACATTTAGTAATAAACTTGTAATAATTAAAAAAAATCTGAGGGAAAAAGAGAATAATAAATTTGTAATAATTTTAATTATTTGGTAAAATTTGAAAATTGTAGAATATATAAAAAAAAAGAATGCATTTAGTAATAAACTTGTAATAATAAAAAAAATTGTAAAAAACAGAATAATAAATTAGTAATAATTAAAAGCATTAGGTAAAATTTGGAAATTGTAGAATATATAAAAAAAAAATACATGTAGTAATAAATTGGTCCGTCTTAAAAAAAAATCGTAAAAAAGAGCATAATAAATTTGTAATAATTTTAATTATTTGGTAAAATTTGGAAATTGTAGAATATCTAAAAAAAGAATACATTTAGTAATAAACTTGTAATAATAAAAAAAACAAAATTGTAAAAAACAGAATAATAAATTTGTAATAATTAAAAGTATTTGGTCAAATTTGGAAATCATAGAATATATAAAAAATAATACATTTAGTAATAAACTTGTAATAATTAAAAAAAAATCGTAAAAAAGAGAATAATAAATTTGTAATAATTTTAATTATTTGGTAAAATTTGAAAATTGTAGAATATATAAAAATAAACTTGTAATAATATTCACAAAAAATTCGTAACAAAAAAATAAAATAAAATTGTAATAAGTAAAAGTATTGGCTGAAATTTGGAAATTGTAGAATATATAAAAAAGGAGTAAAATTTGTTGCAAATTCCTGGTGGCAGTTACGTTGGAACCACTGTTCACGTACAAAAGGGCATTATCGTAATTTTCAGCAAAAGGAAAGGGTATTTTTGACATTTTGTAGTGATTTGACACTTTTAAAAAATATTAAACCAAAAATCTAAAAAGTCAGCTTTTTACCAACTTCCCAAATCACATCTAAAAAAGCCAAAAAACTTAATAAAAAGTCAAAAACTAATTTTTTACTAACTTCTCAAGACAGCTCTTAGTTTATCTCACGTTTACCTATTAATATATGAGAATTTGATTATTTGAGTGGTTCTTAGGACCAGAACCTATTGTAGATCTCATTTAGGTTTCATTTGGAGAGTGGGGTTGGTTTTTTGATTTTTTGATTTTTTTGGTTATATTAGCTTGGGGTTAAAAAGTCTGGTTTGGGAAGAGCTTTTGACTTTTTTGTGTGAAAAAGAATGTAATGATTATAGATTGAATGTGATGTTTTGTCTTATTGAATTAAAAAATTTATTTTATTTTTTGTGACTATTTTAGCCAAAAAAATTCAAAAGTTGGCTTCCCAAACGAAGCCCATAATTTGAATTGTGATATTTATTAAAAGTAAAAAACAAATCATCTCACAATAAATTAAAATTAGTTAATAGAGAATGAAAGATTAAGAAATCATTTGTGAATAATGAATAATTCAAATAATTTATCACTTCTTACACCTAAAATTAAAATTAATCTTTACTTGAATGCAGAGATTATTTGAGAATAATAAAATAGTCAATTAATTTGTTATGTATGATACTTAAAATCTATTTCTCTATCTTTATTTATTTCATTTAAACTATTTTTATTAAGTTAAATCTTAAAATTAATTTCTCACCTTCATTAATGGTTACATTTTTTACTTTATTTTTTAATTTCTCACTTTTATTTTGTTCTATTATAATTTATAGCGAAGTGTTATTGTTTAAATTATCTAATTTTACTTTTTCCGTATATCTAATACTCATATAATTTTATTAATAAGACTGAGAAATCAGACTTCAATACTAATTTAAACACACAACGAAATAAAACATTTTTCAAAAGGAAAAAATATAAATGTAATTTAATTTACCCTATTAAATATATATGAAATTATTATTTATTTTTCATAATTTTTTTTTATTTTAACATTTTATGTATTTTTGTGCCCTTAATTCTTTTTTTTTTTTTTATTGTAAGAGATTCTGTAAGGCAGAAACTGCATTTTAACCTTAAAAAAATAAAAGAGTGATATGTAAATAAAAGCACCCATTTACAGTTGTGCTATACACATCAATTAATATATCAATATATATTATGACATTACCATTTAAAATTACGGACCTAGCCCATTATACAAATTATAAAAATCTATCATCCATTAATATGCTAATTGATATAATAATTAACGTGTATAACTTTATTCTAAAAATAATTGAATTGAAAAATACATAACCATATAAATTAAAGGAAGAAGAGGTTAGTGGTATTTATTTATTTTTTAATGGAAAATCAGAACAAGGGAATCAAGCAAAAGATGTTTCGAAGTTTCAGGGTACAATTAATTGACAGATCACTACAACAAAATTAACTATAAAATATTATAATTTTACATGGCATGCATTAACATGTCGTGAAAACTTTTGTAAAAAAAAAAAAAAATTCAATCCAGAATTTTTTTATGGCATACAAAAGCATGCCGTAAAAAATGCATATTTTCACGACATACAAAAATATGTCATAAAATATTTGTACTTAAGACGACATACATTTTATGTCGTAAAATATTATAACTTTACACGACATGCATTAGCATGTCGTGAAAACTTTTATTAAAGAAAATTCCAATTCGATTTTTTTTTTTGATTTAAAAAAACTAACAATTTCCAATCACCCTTCTCACTTTGAATTTTCCAAATTGAGGAAAATGTAAAAAATAATTTATACATTATTTTATAATTTAGTGTCTCTTTTAAGGGATAATTGCGCCAAGTGGGATTTTGGGGAAAAAATTATATATTCATGAAAAAGTTTACAATTTTCATAATTAATATTTATATGGCTTCTCACTAATTTGTAATTTTTTTTTTTAAAATTACCTTGATTTGATATTTTCCCTTCTTTTGATAATTTATTTATTTTTTACTTTTTAGATGTGTCTAATCTAAATACAACTAAAAAGTAAAATATTTGTAAAAAAAATATAATAAAATATAATATATATGAAATGTATTAAATTTTATATTTTTTTGAATTGAATGATTTTTTTAAAAAGTTAAAAATATTTTCTGTTAAATATATGTTAATTATTTGAATTTTAAAAGTAAAAAAAATTATTTAAAATATTTAAAAACTTACAATAACTAAAGCCAAAAAAAAAAAACACTCAAAAACATTATTTTAGCCTCGTTCACCACTCTCCCAGACGACTCTCATTCTATCTGTATATATTTTTGCCCCGAACCCTCTCTATCTCTCTCTCTCTCTCTCTCTCTCTATGTGCGAGCTCTCGAGCTCTCTTCGAGCATTGCCTTGATCGATCGCGTGACTTCGCATGGCCTCACAATGTATGTCATTCACTTTCTCTTCTAATCGATCAATTTTTCTCTGTCGCTCGATCATTTTTTCCCAAAAGCTTCGAATTCATCATTTTATTTGAAGTTAGGGTTTGGTGAGAGCCATGGAAATGTAGACTATGAAGTCAAATGCATTTTTAATCAATTGATCTCAAACCCTAACTAATCTCTACACACTCCTTTATATCGAATGATTCAGTGAGTTTGAAACTCGTCATACTCCGTATTTTTCTTGTGTATGTGTTTACTGGATCAATTGAAATTTGTATTGATAATTCGGTTTTTTTGGAGGTCTGGCAGATCATTAGACAAGTCGATTTCAACGCTTCAGATGGAGCTGGCTGCTACTCGAAGTTCTGAAGAGATGTGAAGATCTGATGAGTTCACTCACATCTCTGAATTGACTCATGAGGGCTTGCCAAGGAAGAAGGCTTTCATAGTTATTGGAATTAATACTGCTTTTAGTAGTAGGAAGAGGCGCTATTCGGTCAGACAAACTTGGATGGCTCAAGGTGATAATTTGATATTGTCCTTGTGTGTATGTCCTACTATATCTTAATTTCATGGCTTTCCCTGACTAGCTTTTGGGTTTGATTAAGAGAGAGACTTCTTCAATTGGAACAAGAGATTGGAATTAACGTCCGGTTCGTGATCGGCCATAGGTAAATCTCTTGTCTGCATTTTCTCACAAGTTGGTTAGTTTAGTGTTATTTGAAAACAATAGGAATTCTTCGGGCAATATGATCTCATTATTAATTTTTTGAAGTTGGATCCATTGCTTTTCCTTGATATGGATTTGTCAAAAGTCAGCTCCTCTTTGTGTAACAATAGACATTGTTAAGCAAATAACTGTATCATTATCACATGAATTGCCTTTAAAAATTAAAACAGAATATTGATGTTCAAATAGAGTGTCTGACCACAACTCAAATATTTTCAGGTGACAAACTCGAGAGTAGCTGAACATAGGTGAGCTGCTGATTAACTTTAAATTTTAGCTGAATTTTCTTCAGACTAAATCTGACTTATTACAAACTAGCTTTGTGGTCACATTGTCCTGTATATTTAGCATTCGAGTCACTATAAGGAAGAATATGTTTCTCACCATTTTCGAACCATCATGCTGTGACAGAAGTTGATATTGTGGTATTTTCTTTTAAGTCACTATTTCTGTAATATTTTGTAATGCACTGAAAATTATAATAAGGATCATTCACTAAATGTTGCTTTTATGTTGTTTTTGTAGTTTGCTTCTTATCATACTCTTGTTTTTGAATCTTCTCTCTCTCTCTCTCTTCTGATTCATTTTGTATGAAGTTATTGAGAAACCCAAATACGTGCACCATATGGAAATTGATATAAATGAGTTCTATAAGAACTAGGATCACGATTCTTACTGGCCAACCCCAGGATAGAATAATGAGAAAAGTAAACAGCTCATAGCCTTAAGAAGATGCGTGGGACAAAAGTTGATCAGGTTACTGATATTGCTGGATCTAATACTTCTTTCAAAGAAATGCATAGTGCATTTATTTGTGCTTGTGTTTCTTTGTTAGCATAAAATTATAATCTGGTGATAACATTTTCCATTCTTATCCCTGATTAAATTAGGTTGCACAAATAGAATATTCAACTAAAGAATATGTACTTTATCTTCTGCTCCTGAACTTTTGTTGGTCAATCGACAACTTAGTCTATGGGGGAGAATTCTTTCAAATAGGTGTTGTAAATGTAATGCAGTATAGGATACTATTCTTTATGGTGCTCGGTGGGAGTTTTCTTTTATGTGTTACGCTATAGGATTTAGATTTTCTTCGGTAAGCTTTAAATAATTATTGAAACACGGTTCTTACTGAGTCTGTGATGTCTACAAATATCAATTGAGTGAAGTAAATAAATCTTTGGTAAAGCTTGAAAAATGGAGGAAATTTTTCAATACATTGTCAATGAAATGGCCTTGTAAGTTGAACATGATTGAAACTGGGAAGTAGTATCTCTATATCTCTCTTAGATTTCTTCGCCATATATTTCAGCCCCCTTTGCTTTCTTTCACTTGTTGATTCGTGGCATATGGCTGCTTCTATTTCTTCTCCCAACTCCTCTCATACCCAACTAGTAACGATGAAATCTATATCGAAGTAAGGATAGTACATAGGATTAAGTTAGGTGTAGAGCAGATTTTCTCCACCATGCTAGTGTGCAATAACATCGTGCATAATATATCTTTGAACATAATCTTATGCTGCCACATGACTGCCCAAATAATTTTCAACTGTGAAAGTCCCCCTTGTGTCTTGTTCCTGTCTTCCAGAATTAAAAAATTGCCCTGTTGAAATAGCATTCCAAGATTTCTTATCTGTCAATAGCTTCCCTTGTGAGACAATCTAAGGACCACTAGTGCTTTCATTAAACCATTTGATGATAATCCCGGACTGTCACTTTTGGCCAACGACTGTTGAAATATTGGTATAATTGTATAAGATTATTGAGGCTTTGTTAGGGTTCTCCAAACTCAGCTTTTCCTAAATTTCCAAGGTTAAGTGGTTTTGGAAAAAGGTGAATATATGTTTCTTTCTGAATTCTTGCCGTTCCTCTAATAGCTATTTTGGCTCAGATTTCTTGCTGTAGAAGCATTAAGTTTTCATTTGGTATATTCTTTTCTATGAAGATGAAGTAGTAACAAAGAAACAATTAATCATCTGAAAAGCTAAATATTGTGAAGCATGTTGGAGTATGTGAATACAATTTGACAAGGGATAATAGAACAATTATAACAACATGAAAATATGATTCTCTCATTATTTGTTAAATATAGTGGGTCCAAAACATATGCATAATTTTTATTACATGAATACATATAGGAAGTAAAACAAAGCTCAGTTCAATAAAAATTGTTTGAGATCAATTTCAAAAATAAACAAGTCAAGTTAAATTTTCCAAGTCAAATTTCAACAACTTACTACCTAGCTCGACTCATTTACAGTTAATTGACAATTACTAGAGATACCACTACCATTAAGATCATGAAATGATTCCTCTTATGCTATTTTTCTAAGAAAAATAGTCTCTCTCTCTCTCTCTCTCTCTCATCGACATAGTAATTAAATTATTCATACTCTCCTGCCATTTTTCTTCCTATAAAAATACCTTCCTCCCAACAACAAGAATTAGACCATTAAGGGGTCTGAAATTATAGCAGAAAATGGCCCGAGAACCGGGAGCTTTCGCTACTAAGACTACAACAATAGAATGGTGTTCTTGAGAAGCTATCCTCTTCAAACGGGAGGCAAAGATGAAGAAATGTAAAGGAGGTGATGCAAAGAAGCCCATAAAGAAGCTAATTTTATCAATTTTCCACCAGGGAAAAGGAATGGTTCTGGTCTTGACAAGATTCAAGCACAAGATCAAATTTTACATTATTGCTTGTCTTCCTATTGGCTTTAAACCTCCACCTGCCTTAATTTCAACTTAAGACCTTTGTTCATCTACTTTGACTCGTCTACAACTTACAGTTTTTAACTTGATGTACATCTATAGACTATATATTCATGAGCATATACTACTCTATGGCTACCTCTCCTACCATCAAAGCAAAATGAGTATTGATTGAACAACTAAAACGGTTCTATCATACTGGCTTATTGTACCCTTAATAAAGCAAGCTTTTTTTGAAGAAAAAACAATTTCAAGTAAGGCTCATATCGGATTCGTCATCAATGGTTCAGGGAATCAGGCACATTAGCCCTGAAATATTTTCTAAGAAAGTGGAGGAAAATGCATGACATAATAAAACAAAGTAAACATGTTCACAAAGTACAATTCACATGACTCATAAAGTGTCAACAGAATAAATAAAGTGACTGCATCCATGAGTGTCATATTTCCTATCAAGGCATTTATCTACTAAAATATATCGTTCCATCCCATGATGGATTTGCAAAATTCTTCATAGTGTAATAGTTGAGTCAAATATGCATTAGATATACTAACAAGACAAATGCTTCTATAATTTGTGATTTCCTTTCCATGGGAATGTTGCACAATGGGCAATTTGTGTGCTGGAAGCTCTTAGAAAATAGACATGCTGACTGAGGAAAAGTACTCATTCCCTTCTAGGGTTTCAAACCATCATGAACATCCTTACGCAGGAGTTTTAATTTTTTTTTTTTTGAAAAAAAAAAAAAGCACCTAATCATTCAAATGGAGATGGGTGCCAGTTTAAAATAAGACTATATTTGGAGATAAGAATGTTAATTGAGTAGGCGTTGGCCCTGGATTTGAAGGTACTGGAATGGGCTCAGAAATTCAACATCTAAAAACCCTCATGCCCAGGCATGGCCTTTTTACACCTTAACAGAGTTGAATTTAGGCATTACATTTGCAGGATATACAATATTGCAAAGGAAATTACATGTATTAAAGTCAGCACTAAAACAGTGGAGCAAAGAGGTGTATGGAAATGTGCCAGAAAAACTGAAAGGAGTTGAGAGTGAGTTACACTCCCTGGATGTAGTGGCTGAAGACAGACCGTTGGTGGAAGCAGAGCTGCAGTTAAAAAGAGAGATTAGAAGTGAAATGTGGAGGCTTAACAGAATGTTGGAATGTTGGAATGGTCATGGCTGCAAAAGTCTAGACTAGAATGGAACCTAAAAGGGGACAGGAACACTAGATTTTTTCATGTGATGGCTAGCAGTAGACAGAATGCTCTGAAGTCTATTTTAGTTGATGAGCGAGTGGTAGAGAATCCAAAGCATGTGAGGTATGGGGTTTGGGCCCACTTTAACAGGCATTTTTCAGAAGAATGGAGGAGTAGACCTATAATAACTGCTGATTTCAAGAATGTTAGATGCAGTAATTTTTTTCAGCAATTGGAAGTAGAGTTTTCGGAGGAGGAGACATGGGCAGCAGTAAAAGAGTGTGATGGGAATAAAGCACTAGGTCTAGATGGGTTTAACTTAATGTGCTTTCAAAAGAACTGGAAGGTGTTTAAAGAAGAGGTGATGTCTTTTATGAAAGAGTTTCACAGTTTGGGTCGTTTGTCACATGGGATGAATAGCTCTTTTATCACATTAATACCCAAGAAGGTCAACGCTGGTCATATAAGTGACTATAGGCCTATAAGCCTGATTAGGTCAATGTACAAGATTTTGTCTAAAGTTCTTGCAAGTAGACTTAAATCAGTTATGTCAACGCTAGTCAACTAAGGATTTTGCTTCTTTACTTAATTATAAGATTCAAAGTTTACCTTTCAAATTCCTTGGTCTCCCTTTGGATATTTCACCAAGCAGAAAGAAGTCTTGGAAAGCTGTTATAGATAAGGTCAAACTCAGGCTTGCTGGCTGGAAAAGGAGGCTCCTCTCTTTTGCTGGCAGATTGACTCTAATCAAATTAGTGCTGTCTAGCTTGCCTGTATATTATTTATCACTCTTTATGTTGCCGGAAGGAGTTGCTAAGGAAATAGATAAAATACAAGTAGCCTTCTTGTGGGGAGGCACAGACTTGAAGAGAAAAATCCACTTAGTGCAATGGAACGAGGTGACCAAGAGCATCAATCAAGGTGGGTTGGGAATTAGGCGAATCAGAGAGGTTAATGCTTGCTTATTCCTGAAGTGGTGGTGGAGATTTGCCAATGAAGAGAAGGCACTATGGAAGAAGGTGATGTGTAGTAAATATAATATTGCTGTTGATGCTTGGTTTCTAAATCAATCTAATGGCACTAGATGGTCAAAGCTATGGGGTGATATTTTAGCAGTGGCAGAGAAAAGAATCAATCTTCTTTAATTTTTTGTTAACAATTTTCAAATTAAAGTAGGAGATGGGAATAGCGTGAGATTTTGGCATGATAAATGGTGTGGTGGAATTTGTCTTAAGGAGGCTTTCCCTAGACTCTACTCCCTTTCCATTGTTAAGTATGGTTCTCTCAAGTTTTTTGTTGATAAAAAAGGTTGCTCTGAGTTGTGGGATCTGTGGCCGATAAGGCCTCCAATTTAATTTCCGAAGTGGTAAAATCAAACAGATATTCCTACGGTGAACAGATAGAAATTCAAAACCACATATTTTCACATAATGGCATACAAAACCATAGCAAGCACATAATCACATCTTATTAAGAACCAGTTAACATATTACGGAACAGGGGTATTACACCACCTCTCTAACAAGAAAATCGGGCGGCGAAAAGAAAAGTGGTCTCCAAGAAGAAAAGGTGGTCTACCACCATACTACCACATTT